ATGAGGAATTACTACTAAAAATATACAAAAAAATCCTACAACTCAACAACAAAAACAACTTGATTAAAAAATCAGCAAAGGAGGCCGGGCCCAGTGGCTTGCGCCTGTAATCCCAGCACTTTGGGAGGCCGAGGCAGGCGGATCACCTGAGGTCAGGAGTTCCAGACCAGCCGGGCCAATACAGTGAAACCCTGTCTCTACTACAAATACAAAAGTTAGCCAGGCGTAGTGGTGCATGCCTGTTGTCCCAGCTACTTAGGAGGCTGAGGCAGGAGAATCGCTTGAACCTGGGCGGTAGTGGTTGCAGTGAGCCGAGATCGGACCACTGCACTCCAGCCTGGGTGACAGAGTGAGACTGTCTCAAAAAAAGATGCACAAATGGCCAGTAAGCACATAAAAAGATATTCGGCGCCACTAATCATAAGGTAAATGTAAATCAAAACCACAGTGAGATACCACCGTACACCTATTGAGGATAGCTACTATCAAAACAGAAAATAACACGTATCAGTGAGGATGGGGAGAAATGGGAACCCTTGTGCACTGCTGATAGGAATGTGGAATGGTGCGACTGCTGCAAAAAACTCAAAAAATTAAGTACGGAACTACCGTGTGATCCAGCAATTCCACTACTGGGCATGTGCCCCAGAAGCACTGAAAGCAGGGTCTTGATGTTTGTACACCCACGTTGACAGCAGCATCAACTGCAGCAGCCAAGACGGGGAGCCACCCAAGGGCCAGTTGTCGGGCGAATGGATCAGCAAAGGGTCGTGTGCAAAACGCAGTGACGTGTGACTCAGCCTGAGAAGTGGCGAAGCTGGGGCCTGCGCTGCAGCATGGATGAGCCTCGGGGACACTGTGCCGAATGAAATAAGTCAGCCACAAAAGGACAAACATTGTATGATCCCACTTGCACGAGGTCCCTAGAGTCGTCAGACTGATGGACACAGAAAGAGTAGAAGGGGCTGGAGGCTGGGGCTGGAGGAAGGGAATGGAGAGTTAGGGCTTAATGGGAACAGAGCTTCAGTTTGACAAGATGGGAAGAGTTGTGGAGGTGGATAGTGGTGATGGTGGCACAACATTCTGAATGTATTTGATGCCACTGAACTGTGCACTTAAGGATGATCAAGATGGTAAATTTTGTGGTGTATGTATTTTACTAGTAAAAAAAAAAACAACAGAAAAAGTAAACTTAGGTCATAAAGCAGTTTGAGTGTCCACACTTTGGTAGAAGCTGCAGGTCCCTGCTGGGCTCATCGTCCACACTTGGGTAGAAGCTGCAGAAGTTGCAGTGCTTCCCTTGCGTATTTTGCCGGTGACCACAGTCCATGCCCAGAGTGGAGGCTCTGCCTTTTGCTTTGTGAGCTTGGAGTGTTTGTGCCTTCTGCATAGGTGGGTGGGAACAGTGCCAAATACTGAGCCTGAATGGGCCTGGGGTCTCTATGTGGACTTGTCGGGCCGGGAGGAAGGAGGATGGTGGCTCTGATGGCAGGGAACAGTTCAATGGGTGCTGCTGTCCAGGCATGAGGCCTGGGCATAGAGCTGGACCCTGCTCTGTGTGACCTGAGGGCAGAAACCCTTCTGAGTGACAGAGTTGTGGTGGTGACCACGTAGGCTGCTGTGTTTCCCGTGCACTTGCTTTTTCCCCGCATCTCCACCGTCCCATCCGCCTTGTCTGCCCTTTGGAGCCTGTCGCCTTTCTTCCTTATCCACACCTCTTCTACCCAGCAGCCCAGCCTTTCTGCAGACAGCTGGGCAGTGCCCACCCCCACCCCACACCCACTTCCACTGCTGGCACTGTTTTTCCCGGAACTGTCTGTTCCACACCGTCCTATGCCTGGGCTCCTAGAGTGTCCTGTGAGATGCCAGTTAGTGTGAGTCTTTACTCGGAGTCCTGAAGGGCCCCCCTCCCCCTTTCTTGATGTTCTCCACCGGGATTCTTCTCTGCCAGATCCCATCTGCAGGGAACTGGCCCCACTTCTTTGAGGTCTGGAGTGCAAATCCTCCTTCCTTATTGCCAGCCATCCTGTAGTTTTCTTTCTCTTGGCCCCTGATCACACTGAATCCCAGCCGTCTGGCTCAGGGCCAGACCCTCTCCCCGGACACAACTGGAGGCCCCCGTGCAGCACTGAAGCGGCCCCTCTTCACGCTTCAGCCACGTGCTCAAACACTTTCAGGTCCTTAATAGGTTCTACATTTCTGAAAGTCATCCATAGACATTTCTCTACTATTTAATGTGTAGCAAATTTTATATTTAACGTCTGTTTCACACATACAACCTGTCACCCGGTAAGAAGAGGCCCTTAGACACCATTCTTCACTTGTTTGCAGCAGGCAGACTTCCTGACACGATTTATTTTATTTTATTTATTTTTTTGAGATGGAGTCTTTCTCTGTAGCCCAGGCTGGAGTGCAGTGGTGCGATCTCGGCTCACTGCCACCTCCGCCTCCCAGGTTTAAGTGATTCTTCTGCCTCAGCCTCCTCAGTAGCTGGGATTACAGGCACCCGCCACCACCATGCCTGGCTAAGTTTGTATTTTTAGTAGAGACGGGGTTTCACCATGTTGGCCAGGCTGGTATTGAGCTTCTGACCTCAAGTGATCACCCACCTTGGCCTCCCAAAGTGCTGGGATGACAGGTGTGAGCCATTGCATCTGGCCCCAACATGATTCTTGGTTTTTTTAGACGGAGTCTTGCTCTTCTTGCTCTGTCACCCAGGCTGGAGTGCAGTGGCGTGCTCTTGGCTCACTGTGAGCTCCGCCTTCTGGGTTCACGCCATTCTCCTGCTTCAGCCTCCCGAGTAGCTGGGACTACAGGTGCCCACCACCACGCCCGGGTAATTTTTTGTACCTTTAGTAGAGACGGGGTTTCACCATGTTAGCCAGGATGGTCTCGATCTCCTGATCTCGTGATTCACTCGCCTCAGCCTCCCAAAGTTCTGGGATTACAGGCATGGGCCACTGCACCCGGCTGACGTGATTCTTAAGCACATGAAATGCAGGGTTATCTCCTTGTCCTCTCTCAGCAGTTCAGTACAGGAGTCAGCAAACTGTTTCCAGGGGACAGGTAGCAAATGTCAGTGCTTTTGTGGGCCACACTGTTCCTGTCCCAGCTGGTCATGGTGGTGTCACATTGAAGCAGATGCAGACAGTATGTAGACAGTGGGCATGGGTGTGCACCAATAAAGCTTTATTTATAAACAGGTGTCGTGTCCAATTTGTGTTATTAATAACCATGGGTTACTGAGATGAAATAAGGAAAAGAATCTAGTGAGAAAGTACATGTAGTCACCCTTGGGTATAGGAAGAGATTGCTCCGGGACCCCGCCCCCATACCCAAATCCAAGCATGCTGCAATCCTGCAGTCAGCCCTGCAGAACCTGTGTAATATCAAACGTTGGCCCTCTGTGTTCAGGGGTTTTGCATCTTGCAAACATTGTATTTTCAACCTGTTTGGTTGGAAAAAAAATCTGCTTGTAAGTGGACCTATGTGATTAAAATCCATGTTCAAAAGTCAGCTGTATATATATTTAAAGCTGAGAGACTTAAAAATTACCTGATTAAATCCATGCCTCCTCATCCCCCCACAAAATATCTATTCAAAATACGAAGATGATTATGATGGTGAGTCTAGGATTCCCAGGGCTGCCAAGGGATTTCTGTGGTTTGAGCACAGCCGTGCTGGCCCATCAGCCTGTTCCAGTGTGGACAGAGCCAAGTGTCTGCATGCTGGCTGTGTGCTCAGAGCCTGACCCCCATGAACATACTGCAGATGCCTGGGGTGAGCATTTCCCAGTGTCCATGGCCCCAGGCACCTCCTCACTCCAGAGCAGATCTCCCAGGCCCCGTGGCATCTGTGGGTGGTGCTGTCACAGGACCCATCTGCTTTGGATGGCTCTCACTCTTTCACGTTCCTCCAGCTGTTGCTTCTTGGTTTTTGTAGAACCAAATTGTGTGTGTGTGTGTATGTGTGTGTGTGTGTGTGTGTAGTGTGTGTAAGAAAAGGGGGTCTCACTGTGTTTCCCAGGTTGGGCTTGAACTCCTGGGATCAAGCTGTCCCTCCCTCCCACTCAAGCCTCCACAGTAGCTCCATCTTCAGGTGTGAGCTGCTGTGCCCAGCTTTAAACAGAATGGCTTTTCCCCAGCCCTTTAGGAGAGTTTCTTTCATGTGAAAGCAGCAGCGTTTAGATCTGTTTTTTCTTTAAATCCTGGAACTTAAAAAAAGTCATAGAGTCTGATTATATAAAACCAATGGAACCTAGAACTGCTTTGTTCAGAATGGGGTTGGGAGCCCCCAGGCGCCTTCCTTGCTGCCGCTCTTGTTTGGAAACCACTGCTCCAGCCCCCGGACATTTGCTCGCCTCTCTCACCCTCTTGTCTTTTAATAGAGAGCTGGACAGTGGCTCCAGGGACTGTCTTTCCCCTCAGTCACTGGACTGCAGCGCGAGGAGGATGGTGTTGGGGTGTTGGGCTGCAGAGTCACAGGGGTGGACCTGGTGCAGAGCTTGTGTCCTAGGAAGAGTGGCCTGTCCTGGCCCCTGTGCTGGGGAGGGAGGCCGGGCTCTGCCTGCTCTGCGCCGCGTCCTACTGCTGCACATGCTGTTCACGATGGTCTGTTTTGCGAAGTGAGAGGACTTCTCAAGGGTAGTCACTCCATGTTCAAAGCCAAGGGGACTGGGAGGAGGAGTCACTTCAGAGCCTGCTACTGACGGTTTGTGGCTTTCCTGCCTCCGAGGTGGGGTGGTCAAGTTTGCTCCGTGTTTTGTTGTGAGGGGAACAGATGAACAGATGATCTAGGACGTGTTTCTGATTCTCTGTGAATTGATCGCGAGCGAAGGATGCCTGTCACTGTGCTGATGGCCAGCGGGCAATGTGCCTGTTGTGATGGGGTTTGCTGGTGATTTTGGTGATCAAGTTTTGTAAACTGTCTCCTACCTTTGAAAAACATTTGAATGGTGTTTCTTTTCCTTTCTTGTCCCCTTTTGACTTTTTTTTTTTTAGCTTGCTTGCCTTTTGTTTTAGCAGCTGCAGTATCTCGGAAGAAAAAACGAAGAATGGGAACCTATAGCCTGGTTCCTAAGAAAAAGACCAAAGTATTAAAACAGAGGACAGTGATTGAGATGTTTAAGAGCATAACTCATTCCACTGTGGGTTCCAAGGTAAGAGACACATTTGAGTGAGTGCCACGTGTGCGTGGAAATGCGTTTCTGTGTTCGGGGCCTGGTTATCAGTCATTAGGTGACCTCAGTCCCTGGGAAGGGGCCAGTGCCATGAAGCTCCTCTGCCATAGGGGCAGAGTGTTCGTGTCCAAGATTGTTGTGGGGGACTCCACCCTGTCCTCCCTGCCCTCCTCACCACAGCCCGCCGGTCTGCCGGGCTCTTCTCCAGGTGGCAGGGGCACCTCCTCATGTGTCCCCGCCTCCCCACAGGCCCTTGCACCTCCCAGTCACCCAAGACCCCTCAGTGAAAGCGAGTTTGTTCATGATGCGCACTGCTCCTGCCTTGGGGTGTACACCTGCCCGTGTTCTAGGGGGAGAAGGACCTGGGCGCCAGCAGCCTGCACGTGAATGGGGAGAGCTTGGAGATGGACTCAGACGAGGACGACTCAGAGGAGCTCGAGGAGGACGACGGCCATGGCGCAGAGCAGGCGGCTGCATTCCCCACGGAGGACAGCAGGACTTCCAAGGAGAGCATGTCGGAGGCTGACCGCGCCCAGAAGGTAGGTGTTGCTGTCTCGGGAGACAGCATGAGGGAGGATTATCACAAAGTTGACCGTGGTTCTGAGAATTAGTGGTCTGGTCACTTCTAGACCCTAATAAAATCCCCTATTTGCAATTGGCTTAGATTTTTGTATTTTATTTTTCTTGGTGTATTAGATTATTTTCATTCAAGAAGTGTTTGTGTATATCATTCATTGAAGTAAACCTCTTTTTTTTTTTTTTTTTTTTTCCTGTGTTTTCTTTCTTTCTTTTTTTCTGAGATAGGGTCTTGCTTTCACCCAGGCTGCAGTGCAGTGGCATGATCATAGCTCACTGCGCTCAACCTGCTGGGCTCAAGTGATCCTCCCAACCCAGCCTCCCGAGCAGCCAGGACGACAGGCTCATGCCACCATGCCTGGCTAATCTTTAAATTTTTTGTGGAGAGAGGGACTCGCTTTGCTGCCCAGGCTGGTCTTGAACTCCTTTGCTCAAGTGATCCTCACGTCTCAGTCTCCCAGTGTTGGGAATACAGCCATGAGCCACAGCGCCCGGCCTCTTGAACTTGTTCTGGGCTCTAGATCGACAGGAATGATAATGCTGACGGTTTGAAGCGCTGATTGGCGGCTTGCTGTGTGCTCGTTTGTGGTTGACTCTGCGTGGCCTGCCACCTGGCACTGTGGACGCCACACACGGGCCCGGCGTGCTCTCTTCACAGACAGCCTCATCCCGTGTCCACCCAAGGACAAGCACCAGCACAGGCCGAGCCCCCAACCTCGTCGCAGCCATGCTCTTGCGCCTGGCCAGGCATGGGCACCTGGGCCATTGTCTCAGGGAAACCGAGGAAGGTCTTAGACATAGTTTCGGAGTTAAATTCATGCTTTTTCAGTTCTGAGGGGGTCAGTTAGGAGTGACGCATTTCATAAGAGTGAACAGTGGGAAATTGAGAGTCAAGCTGACGTACGTATCAGTGGTTTTATTGTTCAGGTGTGTCCAGCCATCTTCATTTAGACGCAATCTTGTATCTAATAAGTTATTGTAAAACTAATAGTAGGAATAGCAGTCCAGGTGAATTCATCCAAATACTGACTTATTTGAACATGCATAATTATAGTGGTTAGCTTTATCCACTTTCAGTCAGCTTTGTGTGCTATGAGTGTACCCTTGAATGTATACAAAGCATTTTCTGTCATTTGTCCGAGTTTTGGGGATGTGCTTTCTTCCTTTTGCTTCAGTTTCAAAGTCTGTTGTACATTTTTAGCAGGTTTTAGGGCAAATTTTTAAATGTTGCTCCCAGCTCTTAGCTTGATTATTTAAAAATTAGTGGGAAATGTTACCATTAGATATTTAAAGAGGATTTAAACATTTTTTATTTTAAGGTAATTATTAGTTTTTTCTCATTTTATATGAGGAAGCATAAGGAAGAAAATAAACAGCATCATCACTCCATGGTCCTGGTGGCTCTGGCACTCTTTGAAACAGTCACTACAGTAACTTCCTTAGACGTGCCCAGCACAGCCTAGCCCTCCCCAGAGGACGCGCAGCCCTGGCTGCACCGGGGGGAGCAGCGGTGACTCCCATTAAGCTCCTGCCCCAGCAGCTGCCGCGGGCTCTGCACACACGTGTCTGTCGCTCCAGTGCGCGTCTGTTCAGCTGTGTGACGCTCTTTTCTATCAAGTTACAAGCGGTGCTTCAGGGGTGTTCAGTGTCGCAGTTTTGCTGAGTGTGCTTCTGGCTGGTAAGTGCTGTCTGCATTCACAGTGTAGCACTTTGCTGTCACCAGGCCAGCTCTGAGTGTGCCCTCCCGCCTGCAGAGACCTGAGCGGGCTGGTTTCCTCATCTTTCCCAGCAGGGCTGCCTGCTTGGAGTCCAGCAGCTCTTCACTGCTGAGTCAGGCCTGGGGCTGAGCAGCCACCGTGTTTGTTCCTCTGTAAGCCGCTTGCTCAGTAGCCCCTGCTCATTTTTCTCCTGGGTTGTGCATCTTTTGAATGTAGTCTGATGATCTTTTTGTCAAGGAAGAGTTGATCTGTTGGCTCCAGTATGAGCTGAGGCTTTTTCCCCAGGTGGATTTTGGGTTTTTTGTTTTATTTTTTGTTTTTTGGGGACAGGGTCTGACTGTGTTGCCCAGGTTGGAGTGCAGTGGCGTGATCACAGCACAGTGCACCTTGAACTCCTGGGCTGAGGGGATCTTCCTGCCTCAGCTTCCTGAGTAGCTGGGGCTACAGGCACCTGCCACCATGTCCAGCTGATGTTTTTTTATTTTTTGTAGAGACAGGATCCCACTGTGTTGCCCAGGCTGGTTGAACTCCTGGGCCTAAGTGAACCTTCCACCTCAGCTTGCAAAAGTGTTGGGATTACAGGCGTGAGCCACCACACCCAGCTGATTTTATCTTTTGACCTTGTCTATAGTGTCAGAACTCCCAGGTACTAGCCAATTTCTTTATGATTTCTGGGTTCTGGGTTCTAATTACGATAAACCTTTCTCATTGGTGATTTTGAATAAATTGATGTATGCTATCTTCAAATACTTCTTTTATTTCATTCTTGTATATAAATAGTTGATTCATATAGAATTAAAATATCAGGTAGAACTGTTCAGAATGGGTGAAGTTTATGACATATTAATTATATCTCAATAAATCTTCTAAAGGAAAATGTGAGGTAAGGGTCCCAGGGCTTCCCTCAAAATGCTTAGGTTTCAGCTTCACTTACTACCGACATTTCTTCCCTTCTCATTTACAACACCATGTTTATCATGTACCACATGGCATATTAATTTGAGTCTATTTCTAGATTCTCTCTTTCTATTGAGGTTCTCATCTTCTAGAGGAACTGGACGCTGAATAACTAGGTATTTGTTATAAAGTAAAACATTAAATGACTGTCAAGGCAAGAAAAGAATCAAGAAACAAAAGCAAAGCCAAGAAGAAAATGTGGTCAGTGTAAAACAGAACAAGATGGCAGGAGCAGCCTTAACTAGATGGGCACTGACAATCGACGTGATCGTTTTGTTACATAAGTGGCTCCAGAGAACAGAGGAGGACAGGAAAAGTACGCTAGCCCATTCTGAGGTAAAATGTAGGCTCAACTCACCTCAATCCTAAATACAGAAGTCCCAAATAAATTTTTTTTTTTTTTTTTTTTGAGACGGAGTCAGGCGCTGTCACCCAGGCTGGAGTGCAGTGGTGCAATCTCGGCTCACTGCAACCTCTGCCTCCCAGGTTCAAGCAATTCTCCTGCCTCAGCCTCCCAAGTAGCTGGGATTACAGTTGTGAGCCACCACACCCAGGCTAATTTTTGTATTTTTAGTAGAGACGGGGTTTCACCATGTTGGCCAGGCTGGTCTTGAACTCCTGACCTCAAGTGATCTACCTGCCTCGGCCTCCCAAAGTGCTGGGATTACAGGTGTGAGCCACCACACCCGGCCTCCTAAATAAAATACTGATCAAATGCAATGACGTATTAAAATAATGATCATAGGGAAGTGGGGCTTGCCCCATGATGAGAGTGACTCATTATAGAAACAGATGATTTAAAGACCAGGATTTACCAGGTTAACAGAGTAAATGAAGTTCAGGCAGCTTTCTGTTTTCTGAATTTGGGGGACTACATTCTAATTGCATGTACGACAGTGGTACAGTTCAGTAATGATGGAAGAATGATGCACCTGTGTGGCCACCACCCAGATCAAAGCTTTGAATTTTGGCAGCACTGCGGAAGCCCACTGACCTCCCATCCCCAAAAGTAACCCCTCTCCTGAGTGCTTACCCTACAGGATTGTCGTGTTTGATTTCGTTCCTTATATAATATGCATTCTTTCTTTTTTTTCTTTGAGTGTGGCTTATTTCACTTCACATTGTGTTTGTGGGATTTATTTACATTATTAGTTAATTTTCATTGTTATGGAATAGTAGTTTTCAAAGTGGTCTGGGTGGGGGCATTCTGAGACCTGTTCAGAGAGTCTGCAGATCAAAACTGTTGTCATAGTAATGCTAGATGTTGGGTGCCTTTTTCACTCTCATTCATGGAATTACATGTGATGGCAGCTTTGCTGCAGTGGCTGACACTGTCCTTGTAGTTTGAACATGTCTCATTTTAAGTTTCTACTGCAGTACATGTTAATAGATACTTGTATTAACAAATGCTCTTTATGGTTCTTGGTGCTATTTCAGAGTGTGCGGGGCCTGAGGCCAGGGGGTTGACCATACTGGTTCCTCTGTATGGCTGCTCTGTGTCTGTGTCCGTCCCACTGTGGATGGCCCGTGGGTGGTTCCAGTGGGGCCGTTCCAGAGGAGGTTGCCGCCAGCACCCTCATACAGGTGTTGCCCCGGGTACCCACTGGAAATGGAACCGCCATGCCTTGTGCTGGCCTCCGTGGACCCTGCTGTGCGGCTCCCCATGGTGGCTGCTGAGGTTGCCGCCTTCCCCACCACCTCGGAGTGTCCCCTCTGCTGTGCCGGCCACATTCGGTGCTGCCACTCCAGCGAGCAGAGAGTGGCATTACGTTTTCACTTTAAATTGCATTTTCATGATTTACAAGACAGCTGAATACTTTTTCACATACTTATTTTGCCATTTGGATGCCTTTTGTGAAGTACCTGTTCACATCCCAACCATTTACTGGGCGGTTTGTCCTTTTTGAAACGTGTTTTGTAGGGGGTTCTTTGGCCTGGAAACAAGCCCTTGTTGTGTAGTTGACGTGGTACCTTCTTCTGCGTGTGACCTGCCTTTTGACTGAAACAGCTGGTGTCCCGGTGTAGCCACTCTGCTCGGAAGCCGCTTGCAGGGACCTGTTGCCTGACAGCTGGGTGCGGCAGCCACTCTGGGTGCTGGTGAAGGGAGAGCTGGACCCTCTCCCCTCTTAGCTTGAACCCCTAAGTGAGCCTCATGTCCAGAGTTGTGTCCTGCTGGGCGGGGGACAGGCAGCTTTTGGTCTGGCCTGCTGCCCCCCCCCACCCCCCCCAGGACAGATGCGGGAAGCAGCCTGGCCTGCCCCTGGCTTGTTCTTTTCCTGTTTCACGTG